TCTCCTGGACTGCAAATACTACAGCGGTGGTTAAAAAGGCCCAGCAGCGTCTCCACTTTCTGAGAGTGCTCAGGAGGAACAACCTGGAGGAGAGGCTGCTGGTGACATTTTACAGAGCCACCATAGAGAGCATCCTAACGTACGGCATAACAACATGGTATGCAGGGTGCTCAGCTGCAGACAGGAAAGTACTGCAGAGGGTCATCAACACAGCCCAGAAGATCACTGGCTGCTCTCTGCCCAGCCTGGAGGTCACTGCAAACTCTCGGTACCTCAGCAGAGCTGGCAATATCATCAAGGACCACTCTCACCCCAGCAACCAACTGTTTGAACTATTACCGTCAGGCCGACGGTACAGGTCACATAAAACCAGGACAAACAGATTCAGGGATAGCTTCTTTCCCAGAGCTATCACCGTAGTAAATAAGCACAAAAACAATTGAACCTATTCCATACCGTCACTGTCATTATATTATGCTGCTATTCATACTGTCATTATATTAATGCTGCTATCCTGTATATATTGTACATACTATTGTTTGAGTACTTACGATTGTTTTTTTTGTACTTTTTATATTTACATTTATATTTATTATTGAAACTTGCACCAAGGGAGTGGCACTCCAATTTCGTTGTACTCTGTACAATGACAATAAAGGCTATTCTATTCTATTCTATTCTGTTAAGGTAACGTTTCACCGGAAACAAAAACAGTTCCCTCTTGAGGCTCTCATGGACTCAGGAGCGGCTGAAAACTTCATCGACCTGAATCTAGCTTCTCAACTCCACATTTCGCTAACCCCAATTAACCATTTATTCCTGTCACTTGGTAGACGGACACCGTCTCCAACCCTACCCCATTCAGTTCCAGACCCAACCAGTTCGCATGTCCATCGGGGACCACTAGGAGTAGATCCAGTTTCTCGTGGTCTCTGCTGCATCCTCTCCTCTCATCCTGAGCTAACGTTTCTGATAGGGGACCCCGATTCACCGCTAGTTTCTGGAAGGTCTTCTGCAGTCTGATTGGGGCCTCTTCCAGTCTCAGGTCTGGCTACCACCCTTAGTCTAATGGGCAGGCGGAAGGGGCCGCCCAACAACTGGGACGCTTTTTGAGATGATTCATCTCCACCCAACCGTCTCTTTGGCCCAGCTGTTGTAGACAGAGCTGTCTCACAACCTCTACATCTTTTTCTCTACCGGTCTCTCTCCCTTCGAAATTTATCATGGCTTTCACCCTCCTATCTTTGATCACCAGGAGGCAGAGGTTTAAGTACCTGCAGCCCAGCGGTTGGTCTGTCGATGTCGACTGGCCTGGATCGAGGCATGGGCTGCTATTTCTTGATGCAATGCTCAATACACCAAACAACATCGCTGCGACACCGGCCAGGCCATTCATTTCAACCAGGGTACTGGGTCTGGCTCTCCACGAGACACCTGAAACTCCGTACTGAAGCCAAGAAGCTCACTCGCAGGTTTATTGGCCCGTATTAAATCACGGCAGAATCAATCCGGTCACTTATTGTTTACGTCTCCCATCCACAATGAAGGTCCACCCTGTTTTCCATGTGTCGCAGCTTAAGCAACGCATTACCTCTCCACTGGCACGACCCTCTCCACAGTGTTGCCAACTCCTCAGTAAGGAAAATCGCTATTGGTTGTCCTAAAAGTCGCTAGAAGTCGCTAAATGACGTCATCGCCTAATTTGCATAATTGGTCATGCTAATCTAATTGTAACCTATGTTGTTGGAGAGAGAAATAACATCGTGGAAGAGACATAAAGTGAGTAAAAAATGTCCTAAATGCATTTAGAGTTTATTTAGAACTACAAATTAAATTTCTTTTAGCAATTGTTGTTTTTTTTAATGTCACAATTCCAACCCTGCTCCTTTACCCGGGCTTGGACTGGCAAAAGTGACCCGAAATAGGCACTCTGGTGGAGTTACTTTGTGTGTGTGTTTATAAAAATGTGTGTGCAGTCTCCATCGCACTGCACTCTGTCCTCTCACACCTGGACAACAACAACACCTACGCCAGAATGCTGTTTATAGACTTCAGTTCAGCATTCAATACAATCCACCCCTCACAACTCATCAGGAAACTGACAGACCTGGGCATCAGTTCCCTCATCTGCAAATGGTTACTGGACTTCCTGACCAACCGCCCCCAACATGTCCGGCTGGATAACCGCTGCTCATCTACAATCACGATGAACACCGGTGTACCACAAGGCTGTGTGATGAGCCCTTTCCTCTACTCCCTCTTCACCCACGACTGCAGACCTGCTGATGGTTCCAACACCATCATTAAGTTTGCAGATGACACCACAGTGATTGGCCTCATCAGTGACAACGATGAGGCCGCCTACAGGGAGGAGGTGGATCGTCTGGCTGAGTGGTGCGACAGAAACAACCTGCTGCTTAACACCGAGAAGACCAAGGAGCTCATCGTGGACTACAGGAGGAATGCTGACCCACATCCACCCATCCACATTAAGGGGACGGCTGTGGAGCGTGTGAGCAGCTTCAAGTTCCTGGGAGTCCACATCTCCGAGGATCTCACCTAGACGACCAACTGCTCCAAGCTGGTCAAGAAGGCTCACCAGCGCCTCTCCTTCTTGAGGACTCTGAGGAAGAACCACCTGTCCTCAGACATCCTGGTGAACTTCTATTGTTGCACCATCGAGAGCATCCTGACCAACTGTATAACAGTCTGGTATGGGAACTGCTCTGCCTCGGACCGGAAGGCGTTGCAGAGGGTCGTGAAAACTGCCCAGCGCATCGCCGGAGCACCACTTCCTGCCATAAAAGACATCTACAGGAAGCGGTGTCTGAAAAGGGCTGGGAAAATCATCAAAGACCCCAGTCACCCATCACATGGACTCTTCACCCTCCTGCCCTCTGGGAGGCGCCACAGGAGCCTCCGGACTAAGACCACCAGGTACCGGAACAGCTTCTTCCCCACAGCTGTCAGACTCCTGAACTCTGCCTCCTGACATCTGACCCACGTTAAACTCATGGACTGAACATACACACACCCACAATGGACAACTGTACCATCAAACACACAATGATAACATGGACTGAACCACCACTCACAACCACTAGCACTTTATATAGCCTCTGTAGAAACTATCTACACCCTCACTTATCTTAACTGCACTACTGTATAGCTCTGTGTAATTAATCGTTCTGTACATTCGATAATTTTTAATCCTACAACTGTTTACAACTTGCATAGTTCCCATTTCTGTATAGCTGTGTATCTCAGATTCTGTAAAGTTATTTATTTCATATTCTGTATAGTTTTTCATATTTATATCCTGTTCATAGCCTGTACATAGCTTGTACTCACTACAGCCTGTACATACTTATAGTTATAGAATATTCACAACATACTTCATACCGTGTACATTATAACATACCATAATAGACCCATTTCTGTAATATACTCACATATCTATATTATTGCTAATATATATTGTAATATATCTATATCACTAAAGCACTTCTGGATGGATGCAAACTGCATTTCGTTGCCCTGTACCTGTGCATGTGCAATGACAATAAAGTTGAATTCTATTCTTTTCTAAGTAGTTTTAAACCTTGTGATCCACAAAACAGCATAAGAGTAAAAGAGTAAAAGAAGAACTGACTGCATTACAGCACCCGCTGCTTGTTGAGAGTAAAAGCGATACGCACTTTCACGTCTTTTTTTAGCGACTTTTTTTTAGAAGAAAAGTCACTAAGGGGTCTGAAAACTCGCTAAATATAGCGACAAATTCGCTAAGTTGGCAACACTGCCTCTCCAGTGCTGTTAACTTGCAATTTCTCAGGCTGGTGACTCAGATGAATTTATCCTCACCATCAAAAGTGACTCTTGGTCTTCCTTTCCTGGGGCGATCCTAATGTTAGCCAGTTTCGTTATAGCGCATGATGGTTTTTGCGACTGCACGTCGGGACACATTGAAAGTTTTAGCAATTTTCTGGATGGACTGACCTTCAATAAGGACAGATCATTAGAAAGAATGAATATGATTTATTGATTAACAAAATACAGATAAATGTTTGGCAGTTAAACTCTGTTGGCCCGTCCTGTCAGAACAGAACCCCAGCTGTGAAGGGGATTAGAGCAGGACCCCTGGAGTCTAGACACTGGTGCTGGAGATGAGATGTAGGTGGTTTGAATGGAGTGATGAGAGTTAATTCCATATATCTTGTTTCATATATTTGATACCTTCAGTATGTGTCTACAATGTAGAAATTGGTAAAAATAAGGACAAACCATTAAATGAAGGTGTTTCCAAACTTTTGACTAGTAGTGTATATATATAAATATCTAGAGATATAAATATATCGTAACTTTAAAAATTGTGAATCAAGTCCTGTTGGAGTAACAAAATTGCTAAGCAGTGCCAGATTTCTGAAAATGAGGAGGAGCTAGTGGATCCCGGGTTTTTGCTAGCTGTTTTATCTTCTCACCCCACATAGCATGTAGCAATAGTGCCCAATGCAATGGGTACACATATGGAGGTAGGGTATGACTGAAGGCTCCGTAATAGGCACGTAGAGTCCTCATGGTAAAGCCAATAAACCAATTGCACGCCCAAGGTAAAACAAGCAGAGCTGATGGAATGGGGTATGTCTTCCATTTCAGTTGCATGGTGTTCATAGCTGATGTGTCGTGCTTTTCATCCATTGACGGATGACGATGAATGGACGGACCGCCCATTCATCCATCTTGCCATCCATCCCTCCCTCCCTCATGGGTCTGGGTTGCATGTTAATTTTTCAAATCTGATGATCTTGTTTTGTTATTTTAAAATGATATGAGTTCCTATTGCTTTGAACAAATTCAAATAATAGATTTGAATGAGGTGTGTGAATCATTGCAAGGACTGCAAATTGGGGTAACAAGATTCTCAAACACTTTACAGTTAATCAGTGTTGTGTTGTTACCATGTGTTAGTAGTCAGTTCTGTGTCTTTATATTTCTGTTGACAGGGAGAACAGACGGCATTACATAGAGCAGCAGTGGTGGGAAACAGTGACATTATCAATGCTCTGATCCAGGAAAGCTGCGCACTGGACAGACAGGACAAGGTATGATCATTTAGTATAATTTCAGATTCATATTTAATAAACTCCTTTCTGTGAACCTCTTTACAACTGGACTTTTTTGCTTTTGGTTTTTCTATAGAACTACACATCAAGTCATAAACTTAAATGGTCACAATTTGGAGACTGAATAAACAAATATACAGTGGCTTTGTTCTGTGCATAAATATTTTCAAATATTTATATATTTTTTAACCTGTTCTGTAGTCATGAGTTTAGTATTTTAATATCAACAAGCTGCAAAGCAGTATTTAAAAAAGTTGACTGTCTTCATATTTACTGTTAAATTACTTTTTTGCTTCCTACTTTCAGACTTTTTAGTTTCCGTTTAGTACATTTTGTATAATGTATAATTGCAATTCACAACAACAGTCACCTTGAGATGTTTTATATAAGGTTAGAGACAAAATTCCAGAAATCTGAAAATTCCCCCACAAAGCAAGTTTTAACAATGGTGGACACAACCAAATGGGTTTTGGCAGAAGAGACCTCCAATATCAGCCACTTCTTTTATCTACTGCTGGTACATGCTGTCCAGGGGCCTGTCCTTCCATGATGGTTCCTCTTCTTGCCCCTTTTCTTTCTTGTGTTTCTGCTGCCTGAGATATGCACGTTATCTGTTGTGTTCATCTTTCTGATGTACTCTTTCTAATGGATTTGTGTTGTTTCATTCTGGATAGTGGTTCTGAAAATCTTCTTTCTTTCCATTTAGCATACAGTCTAATGGTGCTGGACTTGGGTTGAAACTAGTGGTGCAACTGATGAAAAGTCTCACGGTTCGGATCGGATCACGTTTTTTTCCTCACAGATCGGATCAATTTTCGGATCAGCAGAAAAAAAAGAAGACTTATTTAAGTATTTTTTGCCTATTAAAAAACATTCAACTCAAGAATCATTCCACGCAATTATATAAAACAAATTAAGATGCAATATAGGGCAGTACAGGGCTTTCTATCTACCACTCCGCTGTGATATAATGAGCGGTCATGGTCACGTAGCTTTCCGTTGCCCTGGAGATCCACCCATTTGTATTTTGGGCAACAGAAGATGCCTGGGACAGTTCAGCCATAACTTTAAACTTTTCCTGCTCATACATGCTTGGACTGATCTTGTCACTGAAGTGGACGCGCAACGGAATGTCATAGCGTGGCTCAAGCACGTTCATCATAGTGTAGCGTAAATAGCGTAAATCTCGTTAAAATGACATTAATGCCATAACTGCATTGACGCGGCAAATCTCCGTTAACTAGTTACCGCGGATCTTCCTGTGCGTGGGGCTGCACGGCGTCAATGCGTTAACTAACACGTTGACTAGTTTAAACCCTTGTTTTGCACAACAGAGTACAGCCTACCGTCTGCAGCTAAACACCCCAATAGCTTTTGTAATAGCTTTAGCCTGGTCAGATTGGGCAGCAAAGGGCTGCTTAAATACGGCAAACTCCTCTGCTCCTCCACTTGGACCGCTAGCGCTGGCCATAGCTAGCGCTGGCCATAGCTATCGCTGGCGGCCATAGCTATCGCTGGCGGCCATAGCTATCGCTGGCGGCCATAGCTATCGCTGGCCATAGCTATCGCTTGACAGACTGACCACGCGCACCATACACATATTTTTTTCTTCTTTTTCGAATCTTCGGATCACGTGCGTGCCGAACCGTGGAGTGAGATCGGTTTGGATTACGGATCAACCGTGATCCGTTGCACCATTAGTTGAAACCCTCCATGCATGATAAGGAAATTTCTTGTCAGTGGCTTCTATCTCCTTCTTTGGCCACCTTATTAACCCAGCAGCAATGTGCTAGCAGCATGTAGGTGTTGATTGCCTGGATGTTGTTCTTCTCGTTCAGCTGACTCCTCTGGACTTGGCTTACTCTGTGCAGGTATTTGGTGGTTGCTGCTTTGTTAGTAGCCTTATGTTAGTAGGTCTACTCTTATATTGTTTAGGGGTGACTGTTGTTGTGATTTGGTACTGCATAACTAAAATTTAATTGAATAAAATTGAAACTTGATAAAATTAAGCTTCTCTTCAGTTTGAGTTGACAGAGTTGTAAACATCAATCTGTTTGTTGTTCATTTGCCTTTTTGTCTTCTGTCAGGATGGCAATACTGCTCTCCATGAGGTGTCCTGGCATGGCTTCACTCAATCTGTGAAATTGCTGGTGAAAGCTGGAGCCAATGTTTATACCAAAAACAAGGTGAACCTAGACTTAACCTGAGATCAGAGCACTGAATACATTAGCTGAAAGTTCTAATCAACATTGTTGTAGTTAACCAAATATAACAAAAATCTTAAAGTGTGAAAGATATGCTTGATCGTTGAAATTAAAAACTAGGCTTTAGGCAATAAAGAAAACTGGGGCTATAATCTATACTTGGAAAAAAAATAGATTAAGACATTTTCTACTAAAGACGCTGGTAAAAAATGTGTTTAGTTTTTGTCTGTGTTATTTAAAATTTTGTCAATACAGCCAGTCTGTGAATGCTTGAGGACTGTGAGTCAGTTTTTATACTGTAATACTTCTTCCTGAAAAAGACGATATAAATATATGGTATATGTCACTGCAACAAAAGTATCTCCAGGGAACACCAGTAAATGTCATACTCTCTCTGCTCCTGTTTGCAGGCAGGAAATACACCTCTCCACCTTGCATGTCAGAATGGTCATGCTCAGAGCACCAAGGTTCTGTTATTGGGTGGATCCAGACCTGACAGCAAAAATCATGTAAGTTATGTGCATTTGCAAGTGTCTGGTAGTTGTTCCTGTTCAGAGATTAAATTTGGCAGGCTATGGAACCCTAATATCCACTCTGGCAGTGAAGTGTGAGAAAAAGATAGTTTGTCAGGTGTTTGGTGTTCTTAATTTGTATGCAGATCTTGTACTGTCAGGGTTTCTGGTTCGTTGACCCAGTGTTTTCACTTTGTACTTTGAGACTGTTTTTTTTCCATTTGAGTCCTGTTTTATTGTGTTAGCCTCTGTCTTTGGCTACGTGCACATTGCAGACGAAAGCGCATCAAATTCGACTTTTCTGATCCTATGCGACCAATATCTGATCATGGTATGACAGTGTGAACAGCACAAATCCGATATTTTCAAATCCGACCCAGGTCACTTTCGTGTGTGGTACTGAATCCGATACATATCTGATGTTTTAGAAAGCGACTGCTGTTTGAATGGTCATGTCGCATTAAATTCGTCTTTTACGTCACTGACACAAGACAGACGCCAATTATCAGCGCGCGAAAAAGCGCCCGAGAACGCTTCCTGGCCATCCAGTGAAACTGTTGGGAAGACAGCGTTGGAGAAACGTGAACATTTTATTTGTACTGTACAATCTGCAGACTCTAACAGAAATCTGCAGCTATCCTTTGAAGCACCACTCCTCTCTAAAACAGCAATAAGGATAATTATTAGGCCATATGTAAATAACAAAATAACTTTATAACTTAAAGCAAAATTGGGAAATGTAAAGTCTGAAACAAGTCTTTATATTAAGGGCCATCAGTCAAACAATACTGTTTGGTCTGGGTCTAAACAGAGCGCGTTGTGTGTGACGTCTTCTTTTGCGCATGCGGGCCGCTTTGAGGGTTCACACTAGAGTGCGTTTGCTGTCACATTTTATTTGTAGTGTGAACGAGCAGACAAAAAAAATGGATTTGATCAAAAAATCGGAATTGAGCATTAAGACCTGCAGTGTGAACGTAGCCTTAGTGCATTATGTTTGGTGCTACTTCCCATGTGTCATTAGTTCGATTTAGTTCAGCTGTGTACTCTCCTGTCTCTTATCATCATCATCAACTTGTGTATTTAAGCCCTAAATTTCCCTAAGTTCCTTGTCTTGTCATCATCAGTTGTGTGTTGTCAGGTAAGTTCAGTTCAATTCTGCCAGCCAGTCATTCAGTCAGTCGTCTCATATTCTGTTTATCCTGTCTTCACAATAAACACCGTCCACAGCCTTCATAAGCCTGCAAGTCCTGTTTTTGGGTCCTCTCTCCTCCCTCTCTCCACAGCTCAATGCTCATCATCGCAAAATGCACTTTATTTGTGTGACTTTACTTGTTGTCGTTTTTCTTCATTATTAACACATCAGCAGATATAGTAAACTATAAAAAAGTATAGTGGAAAAATTTTCCAATCTTCATGTATTAATATTTATTGATATAACTTTCATGCAAATAAATGGTACTGATTTTAAAATCCTAGCAAAGTTCACACTCTGTGTTGTAAGCATCCAAGTGCACCATAATTATAGAATAGTAAAATAATAATAAAACAATCACTACTGCTGATTATTATTTTGAGTTTGAATTTAAAAAATATAAACTTGAAAGAAAAATATATACGACCTCTTTTGTTCTTAAAGATCTGATCTTTTTCAGACAGTGCATTTGTTAGGTACAGAGAAGGCAAGAATTGTCACAACAGCAGGGCCAGAGTTGATTCATTTATTGCATGGTAATGCCTTTAATGACTCATAGATGCCTTAAGTTAATCTTAATGTGTTAATGTGTTATATTATTATTTATAATAGGATTATATTTGTGTGTGTGCTGCGTGCCCTACATACTGTGCTCTGTGTTATATTATTATTCATAATATACTATTTGTAATATTGTTATATATTTCCAAACCTTGATTGTTTGAGCTTCAAAAACAAATGAACTTGTTTTTTCTTCTTTTTAAAAAAAAGTTGAATACTGTCAGCAACATTCAAGTGCTGGACAGCATCGATAACGTGGTCCCCCACACAGAGTCCTAGGCTATGTGTGGTATCTGCTTTGAGAGTGAAGGTAGTAAATCTCTTACACTGTGTTTGGGGAGATTTACTACCTTGACCTGAGGAATGTGAATGCTGTAAAATTATTTACCAGTGATTATTTCTTGCAGGCAGGTGATACCTGTCTACATGTGGCGGCCCGCTACAATCATCTGGCTGTGATTCGTATCTTGCTGGGAGCATATTGCTCTGTGTCAGAGAAGAATTTGGTGAGTTGTGGACTGACTGGGGCATTTTTCTGGTAAAAGCTACTTGATGAAAAATTAATTGGAACTTTTTTCCTGTAATGTGAAAAAAATCACGTTTGAATTATAGAAGTTTTTTTAGTAGCTCTTTCTATCCACTATAATCAAGTGCTTGTTTTTCTGATAGTTGGAGTTCTCTTTGTAATATCATAGGGTCTTTACCATATAATAAAAAGTGCCTTGACTTTATAGTTGGTGCTGTATACATGCACTCAACAGAAAGAACAAGTTTATTCCTGTATTTGACATAAAGTGTGTTAATATTTTTATTCTAAGCCCCACTTATTGCAGACACGCAAACCTAGGAATACAACCTGACCAGTCAGGCATAATTTGGTTCCTAAGTGCTGATGATTACTTTTAATACAGTTTCTTATTAACCTAGTGAAGTTTTTCATGACAAACTTAAATCATTTATGAATGCACTACAAGTGACTATTTTGGCTGGCGTCAGAGGGCCTCGGACTCTGGTGATGTGGAAACCTCGGACGCAGGTTCTGGTTGCTTGAGGCCAACAAGTACTGATTTTTGGGGGTTGAATTCTGCTGATGCAGGACTCGCTGATTCAGGCTCAAATTCAGGTGCTGGTGGGGGCTGCCTGGCAGCCTTGGGTTCTGATGCGGGCTCAGATAATGGGTGTCCTTCAGGCTCTAGCACCGCAAGCTGTGTGCCCTGTGCAACCCCAGCATCAGGAATACAGGCAAGAGGTCACAGCACTGCCGTCTGGTCCTGGTTTGCCCGAGCCAAAGGTGCTCCACTGGCCGGTCCTGAACCCTAACTCGAACCCTCCGGTGCAGAGCATGATTTGCAATGTGAATGAAGCTCTTGCAGTGGTTCTATAAGGACCAAATGGCTCATAACATCAAGCTAGACACCCCATACACCCGAAGCACCTCCCATAGAATACTCCCACAAAACACATGTAGACTGGTTGAGCAAACTCCCACCCACCCTGAAATATCCTTAAGAGGCTAGGTCCAGTGTTCCGCAGCCCGGACGAAAACCGCATTGTTCCTCCTGTATCTGAGGTTCAACTAACAGATGGACTCTCCTTTCCACCACCCTGGCATAGATTTTCCCCAGGGAGTGTGTTCACGGAGGGTTGGAGGACACCCTCCAGTCCACCTTCTTGAAGATGGAAAACACTACTAGAGGTACGGCCCTAAATCCCCACATGAGTGTCTGACACTGGGACAACAGAGTGTTAGGGTACTCTTAACTGCCGTTTGGTGCATAAGTGCAGACAACAGTTAGGAATAGTTCCCTGACACAAAGGCACAGGGAACAGTCCCTCTCTACCACCGGGAAAAAAACAAACAAACCAACATACAGGCAGCAAGCCAAGGGGATCCCAGGATGCCCACCCTAGCCTGCTGCCTCTCACCAAGGGCAACTCCGGACTGGTTCAAGAGCCCAAGCTGTGCATTGAGTTGAGCCCAACTATATTTAGCCTTATGCAGAAGTTTAGTTTCCTTCCCCACATTCCATGTCCCCAGCGCTAGCATCGGTACCTGGAATTGGTCCACCAGGGTCTCTGCCCTTGGCTGACAACTGGCACACAGTGCCTTCTGTGGGTGCTGGGTCTACAGGAAGGTCGTTCCATGTCCCTTCTTTGGGCTGCTCTCGGCCAGGCTCCATAGGCCAAAGCCTGGTCACCAGGTGCTTGCCCTCGGGTACCCTTCCCAGGCTAGGCTCCATGGCGGGGTCCCAGTAACCCTATCCTGAGAAGGGGTTTAGCTGTTCCCTTGATCTTGTACTGGCAAGGTCTTCTGAATCGCCCTTTGTCTGGTTCCTCACCCTGGACCAATTTTCCATGGGAGACCCTACCAGTAGGCAGCAAAGCCCCCCAACAATATAACCCCTCCTCCATGATAAGGCAGTGATTCATGGAAAGGGAGACACATTTTTCCACATGATTACATATATCATATTAGTTGAACTTGTAAAAATATATAATGAAATTATAACTAGTAGATTAAATGAACCATATAAGGTGGGGATTTGCATGTTAAGGATGAGATTATATACATCATATAAGGTAAGATTAACATGGAGGAGTGAGGATATTATGTTGACTGAGTCATATTAAGATCAAAATTAATAAATGAAGAAGTTAACTGAAATAACCTTTTTATTCAGGTATATAGCTCATAGTTAATAATCAGTATGCTTTTTATGTTCTCTTGTAAATAAAATACTGTTTTATGATTTGTAAATCATAGCATTTTGTTGCTATTTACATTTTACACAGGATCCCAACTTTTTTGGAATTGGATTAGTAATTGCATTGTTTAATAGACCACAATAATAAAGAACTGGCATCTGTTTGAGATCTTCAAGTTAAGGTTAAACTTATATTAACATTACCTAACAGACCTTTTTTATGTCAAACATCATCAAAGAACAATCCTTCTCAAATAAATGCACGGTGCATTTATTTGAGAAGGATTGTTCTTTGATGATTTAGCCTATTTATCCCTTCCAAAGAGCACCTCAAAGAGACAAAATTTAAATCCAGGAAGCACTCCTTTCTCCTTTGTTTTTAATATTGATGTATTTGTTTCATATTCATGTGCATGTCTGTGTGTGATGCACACAGGCTGGAGACACTCCGCTACATGTGGCAGCTACACTGAATCATAAGAAGGCGATACGCCTGCTGCTGGAGGCTGGAGCAGACAGTCGCATCAACAACAATGTGAGTGTCTCTGTAGACTCAGGAGAAGCATGTCTTTAATTTTAGCACATTGAAAAACCATAGTAGTTATAAGTGGCACTTTCTGTTGTCTAAAATGTTCACGAGTTTTATAGAAATTTATAAAAATGTCTTGAGTTGAGGTTGGCCTATGATTTTCTATGAGTTCCTGCTTTAGTCCTCAAGGAATGGCTCAGTTTTTCTAATTTGTGTATTTCTCCAACTATATCCAGCCACTAATATGTCCTTGTTGGATCACATTTTAGTCAGTTCCTCATTATTGTCTTTGTCTGTCACAAGTTAGAATCTCAGGGGACTCAACCTCAAGGTCAGAGGTCAAGTTTTCTGAAAATCTTGTGACTGCCATGAGTTGACAACAAGCCAGCATAGAATTTTGAAATTGAAACCATAGGTATGCCTAACAGGAGGCTGTGGATTAGCACTGGCGAGTGCCAGTATTTTTTAAAGGCAGACATATTGATAATGATGTCAGATCCATATTAAATATGATAAATTCTAACAGGAATTAACATCTATGACTACATCATTTCTCCTTCCACTCACTTGTCAAAATAACTGAAAAAGGAGTTGTCTTAAGAAATTGTAGTGGGTTGACTTGGGATAGGGTCTCACAATGCATCCACTTCCTCCATCAGCTTGCTGCCAGTCCTGCTTCTTGCTTTTAACTCAAAGCTGTGCTATTCACCATTTCTTTGTAGAAGCAGCAGGTAGCACCTTGAAAAGCATTTGAGCAATTGACCATCAGTAGCTGGAAATTCTCTAATCGCATTACAAGTCATTATACCTTTTTTGGAGATGTCATTTCATATAATGAAATGTTAAATGGACTGATTCTTATATAGCGCTTTTCTACTCTTCTGGAGCACCCATTCATACAAGCACTTGCAGAAGTGCGTACTAACATTCACACATATTCATACTCCAATGGATCATCGGAGAGCAACTTAGGGTTGACCTGCTTTACCGCCTGAGCTACAGCCACCCCGAAATGTGTGAAGGTTCAGATTGTACATTAAAATATCCCATCAATACTAACAGGTTGCTAAGTTCACAGTGATAGAAATAAGTTAATAATTTGCTTACCACAAGCCAGGGAAAACATCCGGTCTGCATGGAATGGAGAGGAAACTGTGACCAGCTGAAGGTGGACTCATGTTTTGTCTGTCTTGATTTGTATCTCTGGGTGTCTGCAGGCAGGTCTAACAGCTTTGGACCAGGCCAGAGAACACAACAACCCAGAAGTAGCTCTTCTACTGACTAAAGCACCCAGGTAAACTCTCACTGTGACCAGTACAGGCAGACATAATTTATAACTATAATAAATAGTTTGATTGTTTTCCACGTATATGAAAATGTGATGTGTGATTTTTCTTTCTCGTGGGCTTTTCTAGGTTATTTGTCATGTTTAGTAACTATAGCTCATATTTTACCAAATTTCACTGCCCAACATATAAGAAAAAGAATCAGATCACTTAAACTATATTTAACATACTAACAGCTAAAATTGAATTTTTTTTGAAAAGCCAGTAAAAACTGTACTCATCAATACTTATCAATACAATATATACAATATATAATTCACAAATCATACTTGATGAATTGTGTCTTCTTGTGTTCAGGTGCAAAGTTTTGTGCGTGGCAGGAAAGCAAGGAAGAGGAGAGATGAGCTGAAGGCAGAAGGTCGGGCTCAGTCAGTGCCTAGAAATGCGATGCTACCCTGTAAGGTAAATATACTTAAGTGTCAGTGTAGCTGAAACTTACTGAATGTAGACTTCATCACAAAAATAGGAAAATGTGAGCAAAACTGGAATGAGCAGGAATGTTTTTTTATGGAGGAGGGGAGTCAGGGTTGTTTCCACATATCTCTGGCGTTGGCCACACACAGTACTAGCCCTAAGGATTTTTATATTTTTGTGGGGACAATGCCTTTATCATATCCTTTAGCTAGAGTTAGCAAGAGTGCCAACATCATTGTGTGCCAGGAATTAGTTTCTCCTTCTCTCACCCCTTTTCACTCACCATGTTTTTATACACCACTCTGCATTTAATTCGGAGTTATTATTCATCTCTGGCACACTTCTACAGCATGTCTTTTGTCTTGTCTCCCTCTGCTCACCCCCAGGTGGTCATGACAGATGGCTGCCTGTCGCTGATCCTGGTTCTGCTGGAGGTTTCTTCCTGTTAAAAGGGAGTTTTTCCTTCCCAACTGTCGCCAAAGTGCTTGCTCAAAGACGGATGTCTGATTGTATGGTCTTTACCTTACAATATAAGCGCCTTGCGGTGACTGTTGTTGTGATTTGGTGCTATAGAAATAAAACTGAATTGACATGAACTGAATTGGCCAAAAGTATGCACTCACCCATCCAAATCACTGAATTCAGGTGTTCCTATCACTTTCATGGCCACAAGTATATACAATTTGACACCAGGCATGCTTGACTTTTTCTATAAACATTTACGAAAGAATGAGTTGCTCTCAGGACTTTAGTGAATTCCAGTGTGGTACCTTAATAGGATGCCACCTGTGCACAAATCCAGTCGTGAATGTCCTTGCCACTGAATATTCCACTGATATAGCAAAGGAACGATTGGGAACACTGCGATTTTGATAGAATTGTAGACTTGAATTATTGAAAAAAGAAAAGGGAAAAGACAAAAATCCACAATATGTCTCATAATGTCCACTTTAAAATCTTTCATACTGTTTAAATGTTTCTGGAACCTGCTTAGATAAACCTTCCTCTCGTTCTACAGAGTAGTGTATCTGCTGCAGGCGACAGCCAGAGCAGTGACCAAGCTGCCTGCAACACACTAAGGTAACTGAGTCTAACGCCAGGAGAGGAAAGAACAGGAAGCGGAAAAAAAAGGTAAGACCGTGCATATAAATATGGAATAAACCATGGAATAAAACCTTTAAAAAAAAAAAAAAAAAAGCGAAAGTAACCAGTAATGAGGGCTAACCTCAGAAGAAACTATCCAGGTTTGTCCTGGACTTTGTCCAGCTGGTCACAGGAAGAGTCACCTTTTTAGATCATTTAAAAACCATTTAAAACCACTGAAAAATTGTCCTCTGGAGAAGAGCAGAGAAGGTTGAACAGTTTAATGAGTTTCTAGACCCAAGAACAGCACAGCAAAACCAAGCAAACCTGGGGTGTACAGCCCTGGTGTTGCACAAGCAGCAGACAAAGACAGACAATGACAAGACAAGGCGTAACAGAAAGATATAGAGAGAAGGGATATTTTGGCATCTTTCGGAACATTTATGGTTAGAGGTAATTCCGATTGCAACTTATTTATGGCCAGCAGGATATTTTTGTAGCCAAAATCATTACTTGTTACTCATGAATTAATAACTTACGACCACATAGTGTTGGTTAACTATTGCAGTTTTATGGTCACTGCAGAGCAATAGGTCATAAGACTTGATGCATAGTGTTAGCATGAACCATTAATCTTCGAGAGGAATTAATCTAACTATAAATCACGATATATCCATTCAACATATATAATATAGGTATATAACATAAAATATAGATACAACTTAAGTCAGTGACACACGGTGACACAGATGATTTTCCACCTGTTGCCTAACACGCAAACAAAAACATCTTACTGCATTATTTACCAGTTTAACAAATTAATTGGATCACATCAAAAATACTGCCTGTCTGCACTCTATATGGATGTCTTCATCTTTCTATCTTTCTCCTTCCTAGCCAATGGATTGTAAAATATTATTACCTACGTAGTTAGTTAAATATCTACTACTACCACAAGATGGCAGTAATGTAAAGGATGGATGCAAACATGCCAGGAGCTTTTTAGTTTATGTCAGTTTTTACATGCTTGTCCTGAAGAAGTGCCACTGATATAACTAAAAATGTAGATAAGGCACAATGTACACATTGCACAATATAAAACCAAAAGCTTAACATATTAATTCCTACAAATGCCGTTGCAGCCATCTTTGTCTGACCTCTGCATGCAGAGAGACCAGGCACTGTGGAACATTCATAAGAAGAAAGGTAAACTGCGTGGAACCGCCCTTATGTTTCCATCCTCCACACAACTTCAAAGCCTATCAGCTGTACACGCTGTACCGAGCAAAGATGCAAGATAATGCAGGTAAGTGACTATCATTACCATGTTTTCGCCAACACTGAGGGTGCCAGTTTGGCACAAGTAAGGTGCTGTTAAATAACAACCAGGCTAGGTAGACACTGAGAAAAGCAAATAATTATTCTTCAGACAGTAAATGCCAGTATCTTGTATCTAGCTTGGTTACTGGTAATTACTAAAGTAGTTCTAACGATAGTATTTAACCTCCTAAGACCTTCCACGACATGCATTTTAATTTCTCTTTGATATTTGGGCATATTGGGGCCCGATAAATGCAAAACAAAGAATTACCAGATTTTTTTTTACCTTGTTTTGTTTTTAAGAAAAATGAGAGCACAAATGAGGATATTCATTTAAAATTTTGATACAACAGTAGCAGTATATGTCCTCGTAAGTGGATATCAGGCCCATGTAGAGCAAAATTGAGTATTTTGGTCTAAATAACCCAAAATGTGATGTCCACATATGTGGACGGCAGGTCCTAGGAGGTTAAGTCTAGGATCCAGGTACATCACAATATGCTGTGTTTTGCCCTTGAAATTCTTTACAAAGCATTTACTACAGCACCTTCAGATGTTGCTTGTTTGTAGGTCTCTGTTGCTTCATTTGTATCCTCAGCAATTAAAAGCATGTACTGTTAGGTTAGGATGTTGTGACCGAGTTGGCCATTGCAGAATATCAATTTTTTGCTTCCAGAAGCTATTGGTTTGCTTTTGTAGTATGTTTTGGATAGGTTTTCATTCGCACTATGAAGTCTGTGTGATCATTTACACCACATGGCTTAATCTGAGTGGAGAGTATAGTTTTGTACATTTCATCAGCAGCCAGTTTGTTCTTGGCTGTAACTAGTGGTTTGTACCTTGTTGTAAATCCTCTGTATTTACATTCATGGACATGTCTCTGATATCTCCTTGAGTGTGTTCTTGACTTGGCTAGTCAAGTTTCTATTAATCAAGAAAAAAGTGATTGTCCATTTTTGTGGGCTTACAGGCTTTTTGTTGCTGCTGAGCTGGCTATTAAATTCCTTCTTTTTAAGAATGTACCATATTGTTGATTTTGCCATTCCATTTTTAATAACTATAGTATGTATTAACATGTTGAAGTTTGTATGGATATATCTTGAAAATATGACCTAGTGTCTCAATGATTTTACCTGTATAAATAAAGATGAAATAAAAAAAAATAAAATTCCTAAAGTTTTTTTTTCTATCCTTCAGACAGGTTTAGTTTGTTTTTTAAGACTTCTAACTAAACCACTACATTGGACACTGATGTGCACCCATACCCTGCCACCCACTGGTGTTACTATATGTTACTATGATGTGTTTCATTGTAATTATTGTTATTTAACCCTGTCATGCATGAATTATCACAACCTCAATAAGGATTTTCTTCTTAAATATTTTTATTCTTCCTTTCATACCACAGATAAATAAAAATACTTAGAAAATATCCTGATTAAAGTTGACATAACTTATGGATGAACGGGTTAGTAGTGTGTATAAATCTTGATAAATAATTAGAGACACTTATACCACAGTGACCAGAGCGACTAATGAAAATTTAAAGAAATGTCCATTTGTTTGTCGTAGCATGTTCTTGGCATTAATCCTCTCTGTTGCTCAGCCCCAAATGCATTTTCCTTACAAATGTGACATCATTTAAGAGAAATGAAAAAGCTTTCCCATTGTATGATTTATTGCTAAGAAACGTTGTTACAAATACACAAATCAACAAAACTCGTATTTCCCTTTTTCTGCTGGAATTTCCTTAATTTCCTCTTCTAACATTACACAACCAAAGGTTATTATCACACTGTTCATAAACTTCTGGATTTTGTCCATTTTCTGTGGCATGCCTATGGTGGAGGTCTGAAGAACATTGTGAATTCTGCTTTTGATTCATGCAAGGAGCTTCAGTCTACTACTCTACTACTTTCCTCTGGTGTATTTTTTCTATTTATAATAACCCTGGGTCTATGCTGGTGTGCGCAGCTGATGGGCGCTGTGTAAACGCCTGAATGTGGTAATGTACTACATTTACAGGCAACCCTCCACCTCTGCCCTTCAACCTACCTGTAGACTGTAGAATGTAATGATGGGCTAAAACCCTTCATGTTTAATGTGACCATTGAGGCATATCAGGCAACAGTACCAAGCACTCACTATTTATCTGTTTTAAAGGTAAAGAGTTAATTACATCACATGTGATGCTCAGAATGTTTTCATTTATTCCTAATGAACATCCTTGTTTCTGTCATTTTTCCACTACAATACCTTAATGATTTAAATATGGATTGCTGGTTTGTGTTACAGGCTCCTCTGAATGGCTGCCGCTGTGAGCCTCTCATAAATAAACTGGAAAACCAGCTGGAAGCTACCAAGGAGGAAATGAAAACTGAGATCCACATCATTCAAGACCAACTGAACAGCAAGATGGGCCAGCTCGACCGCAAGAACAAACACCAGGTAGCATATACAGTTGCTCATTGCAACTGATCCACAAAAGAAAGTAAGCACTCACATAACATTAACTGCAGTTGGTGCTATTCACGAGGTTAACAGCATTTCAGAGGCCTCCCTACCTCTCAACTCTGCCGCCCTATTTTTTCCCTTCCTCATGAGTGGTCTTTCTGTGTGGAATTTGTGTGGGTTCTCTCTTCTTCTCACAAGTGAGGTTAATTGATGATTCTAAATTGCCCATAGGTGTAAATGTGAGTGTGACTGTTTGTCTGTCTCTATGTGTCAGACTGGCGATCTGTCCAGGTGTACGCTGCCCCTCACTGCTGCGTACACCACGTACACCCTGGACATGACTGAGGCCATTTCTGATAAGGTCTCATGAAGTGTAGATAGATCAACTGAACGGCCAGATTAATTCCTTAAGGACTAAGGCTTTTTAGATACTGTTCATCTACCGTCTAGGTTTTTTTAGGCCTGCCTTTTGGCTTCATCTTTTGGTTTCCACTTTTCCAAGTTTTCTTACATTTCAAGGGCGTACTGCACACCAAGTCGTGATATGCCAAGTTTTCTGCTAATGAGTCTTTGGGAATCCCTTGTTGACAGATTGTTGAAATGGAAGCAAGTTATAGTGCATCCAAAAAAAGTATTTACAGCACATCACTTGTTCCATATATTAAAATCTTACAGCCTAATTCCATAATGGATTAACTTCATTTCACTTTCACCTCATTCTAGATACAATACCCCCATAATGACAAAGTGAAAAAAGTTGTTTGAAATTCCTTAAAAAATGTATACAAATCCAAAATATACCACACACATAAGTATATAAACATTCACGGACTTTGCTACTCAAAATTTGAGCTCAGGTGAATCCTGTTTCTACCAATCATCTGTCAGATGTTTCTACAACTTAGAGTCCTGCTGTTGTAAATTGGCTAGGCTATTGTAATTCATTGTTATAATTATTATCAGGCTGTCCTACTCCCTGAAAAGCCTTCAGTTGATTCAGAATGCCGCATAGAGAGAGAAATGTCTTCCTTCTCTCTTCCCAACGGTCAAGATGGCCGCCTCCATGAGCCTGGTTCTGCCGGAGGTTTCTTCCTGTTAAAAAGGAGTTTTTCCTTCCCACTGTCGCCAAAGTGCTTGCTCATAGGGGGTCAATTGATTGTTGCGGGTTCTCTGCCTGTTTGTTTTTTTATTGCAGGGTTTACCTTACAACGTAAAGCTCACTGAGGGAACTGTTCTTCTGATTTGGTGCTATACAAATAAAATTGAATTGAATTGCAAAGATGGGAAAATGGCTGTGCACTGATGCTCCCCATCCAACACGATGGTGCTTGGAAGGTTCTGCAAAAGGAAACTGTCCAAAAATAGGTGTACCAAGTTTGTAGCGTCATACTCAAGACTTAAGGCTGTAATTGCTGCAAAGATGCTTCACTAAAATAACAAGGCTACATGTACATGTTATATATAAATTTTATATAAATGTTTTATTTTTAATAAACTTAAAGAATTTCTAGCAAACTTTTTTTTACAATTTGTCATTATAAGGTATTATGTCTAGAATTTTGATGTGAAAAATTAATGTCATTCATTTTTGAATATGACAAAATGTTGAACAAGTGAAGCGCTGTGAATACTTTCCGGATGCACCTTAGTTACTCCTATTAGTGTGAGTAATTATTTTTATGTGTTATGTGTGTGTGTTGTCTGCAGAAGTAGCAAAAGTACAGAATTTACTTATCTAAGTAGAAGTAAAGAGGTTGAAAGCTACTCCAGTAAGATTGAAGTACTGAAGCAACTTTTTTTACTCAAGTCAAAGTGAAAAAGTGCAGGCTCTGGAATGTACTCCAAGTAAGAAAGTAAAAAGTAGCTCCTTGAAGGACAATTCTACCAACTATTTTGTACAAAGGTAACTGAACCTTGCGCTATATTCATATAATAATAAAATAATATTAGTACATGAGAATAAAAAATTCAGAATTGGTTTAGTTACAAAGAAGGAAATGATTTCTCTTTTGGCATATAAACACGGTGTGGTAAGAGGATGCATGTGGTCAGACTGAAAAACACACAAACAGGGAAGAGTGGATTGGTACAAAACAAAATATGGACAGATGGTAATGAACAGATTGCACCATCGTGCAATAAAGAGAATGTATGTTCGATCACAAAACAGCCGATCAATTTTGTTTCACCAAGTTTGTTTCTACACGAGTCATTTTGTAGAGGGTATGGCAGCATTGACAGTTTGTCTTAAAACAGTAACTGTAATGTGCACATTTTGGCTTTTTATTATGACTGTTTTCTTGAAATAAAACTTTATTCTCAATTTTTTTTCTTAATGTGGCCCTAATACACCTCTGTAAAACTGTGACAGAACAGAATAAACAGAACAAGGATGTCTGTCTATTCTTGGGTTTTTAGTGAAGCCTAAACTGAATGCATTTGTAGAATGAAGGTGAATAAAGCTCTGCCTTTAGCCTGTGTGACAGCAGGGTTTGAATGCAGACATGCAGTAAAATGATAGGAAGCACAGTAGATAAATCCTTTATCTTTTAACGGTGTCAGCCCTGTTTTCACGTTGTTGTCTGTGATTAGATCTGGGCTCTTGACAAGATGACAGTGGAGAGAGCGTCAGCAGAGAGAAGCAGCTGTCTGAAGAGGATCGAGCAACGGGCCCTGCAGGAACGACGTGAAGCAGAAAAGAGACAGGTAACACTGTCAGGATACCTCTGACTGTGGAACTCTGACTGCTCTGTGTATGAAGCCATCACAGAATGATGTTTGTTGTGTGTGAAGTTTGTTCATGAAGAAAAAGGAAATTTAACATATTTGACCTTTTACTGTAATCTCCAGATCAAACAAAGGCAATAGAAAATGTTAACCGGGGTCTGCATGACATTGGGACACAACAAGCTATCGAAATTGGGCATCATCATTGAGTGCTGTGATAAAGTGTTGCCCCCATCCTAATTTCCTATTTTTTTGTATGTTTGTCATACTTAAATGTTTTAGATAACAAAAAATCTAAATATTAAGCAAAGATAACACAAGTACACACAAAATGCAGTTTCTAAATGAAGGTGTTTATAATTAAGAAGATAAATTAACTGTGGTGTATCACATCTTTGAAATGCTGAGTTCAATTTCTCTAGTCACACCCAGGCCTGATTACTACACGCCTGTTCGGAATCACTTAAATAGGACCTGCCTGACAAAGGAAGTAGACCAAAAGATCCTCAAAAGCCAGACATCATGCTGCGATCGAAATTCAGGAAAAAATGACAAACAAAGTAATTGAGATCTCTCAGTCCGGAAAGGTTATAGCATCAACAACTCATCCAACAGGTCTCAAAAGACTCCAGAATAACATCTAAAGATTGCAGGCCTCACTTGCCTCAATGAACACTGACCTTAGTCAGTGTTCATTTCTCCACCATAAGAAAAGACTGAGCAAAAATGGCCTGTATGGCAGGCTAAGAGTTCCAAGACGAAAACCACTGCTGAGCAAAAGAAAATAAAGATTCATTTCAGTTTGCCAGAAAACATCTTGATGATCCCCAAGACTTTTGGGAAAATACTCTGTGGACGGACGAGATAAAAGCTGAACCTTTTGGAAGGTGTGTGTCCCATTACAGCTAACGTAAAAGTAACAGAAAAGGAGTACCAGCAAAACCAGCTGAGGGAGGGGCATTCATCTGCTGTGACTAATTGAGGGTGAGAAGAGGACAAAAGACATGCTGTGCAAGAAAGCCAGAGAATAATAACTAATTATTAAGTGCAAAGTGGTGTAAACACACAGGTAAGTGAAGAAGCACCCAGTGCATCATGGGAAACTGTAGCAGCCTACACCTATTGCAGCATAACTAAGGGAGGATTCAAGGTCACCTGATCCAGCCCCAACTTTATGCTTTCCTCAAAAAGGAAAGTTTAAACCTATTGTTAGGCTTCCACAAAAGAGGGGCTCTGCCTCCCATTCTACTTTTAAATATCCTAGATACCCCAAGTAAACCAGCGTCTGGGAGTGAAGTGCTCTATTGGAATGTTTCACAGGGTAACCAATGCCCTCATGGCAATTGTTATAGTTTTATTACATCTAGCCAACAAAATAGAATTGTTGTTTTAATTGTGAATGTGAAGCTATTGGTGCTGTGGCCCATTCCTTTAAGTCATAAGTATGTGAAGTAGAATAGATGTTACTGTAATTTTTCTAAGCATTTCTTAAGTCGTCATGATTTTCATACTAATAATTACACAGTGGGCCCAAACATTCAATTGAATTAAATTGAAATAACAGTATTGCAAATGCTCACAATTATAGATCACATTCTATGAACCTATAAACTGGATGTGGATGCTGTTGAAGGCAGAGGAATATCTTGCCGTGTAATTACATTAGCACATTCCACCCAGAGTCATTTCACTGCCTCATTCGCACTCAGCTGGCTGTGGAACCCCAGAACATTAAACTAGTCAGATGTTCTCGATATATTACGTATAAAATTTTGTCAACTGCATCATGTTCACACGAGCTGAATCTAGAGACGGTCTATCCAAAGAGATTCCAGGACTTCTCTTATAGCTTGATGCTGTACAAAGAGGCACTGTAATATTAATAGGGTGCAATTCTGTCTGGTCTCTACTTCTTTTAGTAATATATGCTTCAGTATGTCTATTGACCCCTGCAGCTAGCATTATCATTCTTTTTCTGTACTGGTCCACAGTATGCTGAAGTGCCCGTATATCTGCAAGCAGGGGACCTGATCAGTTGACCTGTGCACAATTAATTAAACTGAACTGTACACAATTTTCAATCTCAGTAGGTGATCTTATACGGGACTAATGTGCTGGATTAGGTGGATGTCAGGATATAATGATGAATAGATGAACTCCATTAAAGATTACATCATTGTTTTCTTTTAATCTACTTTTAGGACAGTGTATGCATTAAATGAATGGGAACTGATCTAATGAGCTCTTCTGTCATTAATAGAACTCTTGTGTGTGGTTCATTGTGTCCCCTAAGCAGACAGCTCTGGCCAGTGAACTGAAGAGCTGGTGTCTGTCCAAACTGCAGAACATGGAGGGCCGTGTCACAGGAGAGCCCAGCAGCACCAAGTTACAGCACTCCTCTACTGTGGCCGAAGCTAATGTAGCACCCTTCGCTGTGGTGCCCATTGGACAAGGGGGCAACTCCCAGTGCCTTGAGCACCACAGTGACCCTCCACTCCTGGAGTTCAGCCGGGAAGAGTCTAGTGTGGCAGAGGGTGGCACAGCCAGTCACTACTTTGTTGTTCATGTGGAGAGCTCTCCAGGTAACAAATCAGCATAAACAAAGATGCTTTGTTTTGTTTCAGAAAAAAAAGAAAAAAAAGAAGAAGCTTCAAATCAAATTTAAAACAGCGACCCTGTAAATTAATAAAATGAATCCAATGAAACCTCATTTTCCTGTTCTGAGCTGATAGGAGTGATAACTGGTGTGGTCTTCTGCTGTAGTTCAGCTGCTTCAAGGTTCCACATGTTATGTGTACACTGTTCAGTAATGCTCTTCTGAATACCTTGGTTGTAATGAGTTACTGTTTCAGGAACTCAGTTTGCCCATTCTCAACTAGGCATTCGTGCCTAGAGAACTGCTCACAAAATTGTTTTCCACATTTTTCTGTGTATCGTTGTGTGGGAAAATCCCAGTAACCCAGCAGTTTCTGAAAAATTCAGAACAGCTGGTCATCAAAGTCTGTCTTGATAATGTCTAAATGCTAAGTGGCCAGTGATATGCAAAAGAAAACAGCAAGTATCTTCAGTATACATAAACAAATAATAAAAAATGAACAATTATATAATTCCTACCCATTCCCACCCAAATTTGGCATCAGTTCTGGAATCTGAAAAAACAGGAATTCTATACAGCATTTATAGGTCTATTCACACCATGAAAATACAACAGAGAAAATGCTACATGCTATTCGTGACTGCAGATTTGCATTGCATGCTAATTATCAGGCTGCCTAGTGGGTTCTATTCTAATCTTATTTATACAGCAACAGACAGGCCTCAGGGGTCTGTACCTTTGCATTGTAAGGTACAGACCCTAGAATAATACAGAGAAAACCCCCAATCAGACACTCGCTCATGAGTAAGCAGGATGAAAATCTTTGGAAGAACCAGGCTCGGGGAACGCCAACAGGATTAAAAAAAACACACACACATGATTTTTAGGGCCAAATACAGTTGTATCTGAATTTAGAAGCACAGCAGGGTACCGTGAAGCTTAATGTTGGCTGAACCTCTTGTGAATTGTACAGATGGTGATAAGGATCAGAATACTGAGGATGACTCTCCCACAGCAGCCAAGAACCCCCCATCATCTGTTCAGGTGGTTCGGCCAAAGGAGCGCTCTGTGACCTCTGCTGACACCAAGAGGAAGAACCAGGAGCTGAATGATGTGGACATAATGAGGAGTGGGGCCAGGAGCCAAAGATCCAGCAGCTTCTCTCCAGCCACGGAGCGGCGCTGCAGCAGCAGAAATGACATAGGGATCAGAGAGAAGGAAGGACACTGTGATACAGGGAAGCACCAGAAGAAATATTTTCAGGGTAGGACTAAATTGAGAGGGGACATAAAGGTCAGGCCTCCAGAGGTCTTTGGAGGCCAGCCTACGTTTACTCAGGAGAGGGACAACATGCATGCCATTGAGGTGACCCAGTATTTCTTTGAGACGGTCTCGACTCAGATGGAGCGCTGGTATGAGAGGAAGGTGCAGGAGGCTCAATGGCAGGCAGATCAGAAGGCTCAGACAGAGAAAGATGCTCTGATTAATAGGATTGCCTACCTGGAGGATGAGCTACGTATGCTGAGAATGCATCGGGACGAGGACTGTTAAGATACAATCCATTTGCTGGAGAAAAAAACTGCTGAGATCTGTCCAGCATTGACCAAACATCATATAAATGTGATTCCTCTTGAGGACCAGTATACAAAACTGCAGAACCTCAGAACCACAGTCTTAGAGCAAAGTGCTCCATTGGGGTGGTGTGGTAGTATGAAGTTTTTAAGATAAGATGCAGCCTGATTATAGAAGACTTTATGAGGCAAAGGGTTTTAAATTTGATTCTGGATTTGCCAATGAAGCCAATGAATGGAAGCCAGTACAGTAGAAATATGCTCTCTCCTTCTAGTTCCTGTCTGAAGTTTTTTCGGACACCCTGATAATAATGAATTACAGTAGTCCAGCCTAAATGTAATACATGCATGAACTAGTTTTTCAGCTTCGTTCTGAGACAGGATGTTTCTAATTTTGGAGATATTGTGTAAATAGAAGAAAACAGTCCTACATGTATGTTTAATTGTGGTGGAGGTGTGGTCCCTGGCTCAGCTGCAGGGGAGGGGTGGCGCAGCGAGTTCAAGGAGCAGTGCCAGGCAGGTGAGTGGACAGGTAGTCGTGTGGCACTGATGAGCTTTCTACTGTTGTCAGTGATGCTGGAGTGGAGAGGAGGAAAGGCTTTAGAAGGTGTGCGCAACGCCGGGAGAGAGCTGTAGTGAGAAGTGTGTGTGCCAAACCTTAAAAGTACACTGCTGTGTGTCGAGAAGTAAAAAGAAACGTTTCGTACACTGTTTGTGTGGGTCCGGTCCTTGTACAGTGGTGCTGAAACCCAGTGGAGTATGTCCGAGCCTCAGGCCGCGCCACAGGCGCAGCCACTCCAAATCCTGGCTCAGATGCTGGCAGAGATGGCGACCGTGAGCCGTGATCAGGCGGGCGCACAACAGAAGCAGATGGAGCAGTTGTGGGAATAGCTGGACCGGCAGATGGGGGACCTGGAGCAGCTGGTTGCGGTTGCCGCGCCGTGGGGCATTGTTGGAGGCAGAATGGATGGAAGTGAGATGTGTTCATGGTGATATTCACAAGTATCCTATTGTGCCACTGTTATTAAAATACAAGGACAAAACACATAGGATTAAGGGTGCGGTTTGCTCGTGCCTGTCGCTCCCCCTAATTCTGGGTATGGATTGGCCAGTCTAATAAACTGTTGTGGCAGTATGCAGGGATGCGATTACAACCATTAATAGCCTCACTAGAAGGTCCCGCCAGCTTGGGAGGTTCACTTTATGGGAGATTTTCCACTGGAGCAGTCTTGTGATAACATTCTAGGCTCAGCCAAGTGATAGAAATTGATTATCACGTGGTGCGCCCTGAAGCCGTGCAGACCTCCCGACTATGTGTTATTAAAAGATTTATCGAGTGAGTCGTGACACTCACGAGAGGAGGAAAGGCTTTAGAAGGTGTGCGCAACGCCAGGAGACACCTCCAGTGAGAATCGTGTGTGCCAAACCTTAAAAGTACACTGCTGTGTCGAGAAATAAAAAGAAACGTTTCGTACACTGTGTGTCTGGGTCCAGTCCTTCTACATTAATGTACGCTTTGAAGGACATATCCTGTTCAAAAAGTATTCCTCAAAATGTTACTGGAGGCCAAGGTAGTGTCATCCAGAGTAGCCATCTGGTTAGAGACCATATTTTGACGATTTTTTTATAACCTCAGTTTTCTCTGAATTTAGAAGCAGAAAATTTGAGGTCATCCGGGTCGTTTTGTCTTTAAGACATTCCTGCAGTTTAACTAATAAGTGTGTGTTATCTGGCTTCATCGGTATGTAAAGTTGGGTGTCATCTGCATAAAAGTGAAAATGTATGCTTTGCTTTCTAATAATACTGCTACGGAACCCTGTAGAACTCCATAACTAACGAGAGCACTACCTTTAATACCTACAGCATGCTCTAATCACCGTAATAAAATATTATGGTCAACAGTATTGAGTAAGATAAAGATCTGTAAATTTCTCTTACTTTACTCACATTTCACAGAATGTATTTTTAGTAATAAGTCTGATATGAATTATTGTGGATATGGGCAAGTGTACGATAATGGGGAATTTAATTTTTACTTTACAATCCTGTTTTAGTGTAATATTTATTGTGAAGTAGTACTTTCTTGCTTATTTCATTTTTATGTACTGTTCTTTTAATACACTGTAATTGCACACAGGGGGAGCAGTCAGGCTTCTGCACTGTGGATAGTGGAGGCTTTAACTAGCTGTGGAATCAAACAGTTTTCTTACCGTGTCGGGCAGTGTACAGGGACATTCAGGCTGATTCTTGTGAATTCAAGACTGTGGAAACATATGTTTTCAGAGGGTTTTCCCAGCAAGTGATCTAGTGGATTTTTAGTGTCTCCTCTCTCTGCTTCTCTTCCCCTCTGTTTTTCTTTCCCTCTCTTTTTCACAGTTTCTCTTGTCTTTCTCTTTCCTATCCCCCCGTCCTGTTGTTCCATTTGTAATAACTTAAAAGTAAAATAAACTAGAAAAAGTTGCATTTCCTGCGAAAATGCAGTGTGAATGCCGTGTAGTGGAATCTGAAAACAGCAGAAGGAGAACTCCGCTGAAAACACTGTGTAGAAGCTGAACTCTGCTTTATTTGAAAGACACCACAGAAGAGTGTCAAGAAAGCAGGGAGAGTTCAAGGATGGAAGACGTGCAGCAAGCACCACAGGTAGGATCTGAACCAGCGCCAACTGGTCTCAAGGCAGCTGCTCATTTCACTGAGCCAAACTTGTTCTCAGGTGACTGAAAAGATATGAAACTGAAAATTGTCCTGAAAAGAGGTGAAGATGCTGAAAATTCTGTTGAAAAGAGCAGAAGAGCCTGAGATTTGTGCTGATAAGAGGTGAAAAAGCTAAAAATTCTGCTCAAAAGAGGTGAACATTTTGAACTTTCTGCTGAAAAGAGATGGAGAAACAGAAAATTGTGCAGAAAAGGGGTAAAGAAACTGAAAACTGTTGAAAAGAGCAGAAGAGGCTGAGATTTGTGATGAAAACAGGTGAAAGAGCTTAACTTTCTGCTAAAAAGAGTTGAAAAAAATGAAAATTCTGCTGAAAACAGGCCAAGAAACTAGAAATTCTGCTGAAAAGACGTGAATTAGCAGAATTTCTGCTGAAAAGAGGTAAAGAAGCTGAAGTTTGCAGTGAAAACAGCTAAAGAAGCAGGAATTTGTGCTGGAAAGTATTGAAAAATGGAAAATTCTGCTGAAAAGAGGTGAAAAAGCTGAAATTTGTGTTGAAAAGAGTTAAAAAAAAAAGTTGAACTGTTTACTGAAATATTTTTTTTGTCATAAGTGGGATTTGCCAAAAAATGGCATAAAAAGCTTAATATCTCAAAAAGTATGAAAGGTATGAGCACCAAAAGATATAGCTGGCATTAGCATAGGGAGCAGAACAGATTAAAGTTTAAATGGTGGAAATCGGCTGAAAACTGAGCGAGTAGTTAACCAGCAAAGGTCGGAGCAACTAGAATAAGGTAGAATAAAGTTTAAAGAGAAACAGGATCTCTTGAGGCATTCACACAATAAACAGGAGACAGTTTTTGGTTGTATGAGTCTCAAACATACTGGTGCTAGTCCGAGTACATATACTGGGTAAGTGACCTGGAAACTTACTGGAAGGTGACTCTAACGCATGATAGGTGGAGCAACATGTGAAACCACAGCCCCTAAATCAGGGGTAGGCAACTCCAGGCCTCGAGTGCCGGTGTCCTGCAGGTTTTAGATCGCACCCTGGGTTAACACACCTGAATCAAATGATTAGTTCATTACCAGGCCTCTGGAGAACTTCAAGAAATGCTGAGGAGTCATTTAGCCCATTAAATCAGCTGTGATGGATCATGGACACATCTAAAACCTCCAGGACACCAACACTCGAGGCCTGGAGTTGCCTACCCCTGCCCTAAATGTTTGTTTACACTGTCTTCTTGAAATATCTACTTGTGTAATTGTGTCTTAAATTATCTGTGTCTTTAAAACAGATAAACGTATGCTTTTATATGAAATTTTCAGACGACTAAAAAGGACGATAACTAAAAGGTGTTTCTTGTAATTCTGTCAGTCTGTAGTCTGTGATAAATGTCTTATAAAAATAATTTATGTGCCACAGCTGTGGCTGTCAAAAATTATCTTGAATAAATACAATGAACTTTGCGAATTCTTCTTTAAGCTGACTGTCCAGAGATAAGCTATCAAACCTGTGATAGAGCAATATGCCAGATCTGCAAGTTTTTTTAACTGAAGGAAAAAAAGTGTGTGACTGAGGAAACTTACAGTTTTGCAAAACACCCCAAAAACACATTTTCAAGAAAATGATAAAAGGAATCTTGAGTCTATGTAAACCTGTTTAGAGCAGATGGTTTACTTTATTTTTACAAACATATAAACTTCATAGAAAAAGTAAGGAAACTTATATTTGGGCAATCAGTTCTTTGCTGTCGCACTTCTTCTTGGCAAAAAAACTTGTGCTATTGGAAAGTGTTAGGTCTGCGCTTCCACAGGCCCCGCTGGTTTAGAGACTTATTCCCGTTAACGAAGCAAGACGAACAGCTCAACCGGTTTTTCACATGCTAGCAAAGGAAGGATCTCAGAGCAGCCCTTCTGTCCTCGGTGTCAGACCACTTCAAAGAACAATCAGCCTTTTATTTCTGTGACACACAATTTACACAAATACCCATTATAAAAATAAAAAAAACCCTATGGTTATAAAACACACACTGTGTGTGTGTGTGTGGGGGGGGGGGGTGCATTTGTGTGACCTCCTGTTCACCAAAAGGGTCATGAAAGCAGAAAATTTACTAAACAAGAAAACAGAACCTTCACCTGGGATGTGCCTTTAATAAAACACTACAGCCTCCCCCACCTTTCAACAGGCTGGGGAGGGGGTCAGAAACAAAGGAATGTCTTTGATCATACAGTTTGAACTAAGACTTACAGATTTAAGTACAAGAATGGCAACATTTAACAATTTGACTCTAACAGAAAGTCTGTTTACTTGCCCTTAAATGGGGCCATGTTTGTAAGGAAAATGTATTCATGCGTTGAGCAGCATAGGTGAGTATGTGGATTATGCCCATAAAAAATTTATCAGATCTTCTTTGCCAGTGCTAAACAGCTTATTCTGCTATTGACTCTTGTTTTTAGCTTCAGGTACCCCAGGTGCTTACAATCCAGTGCCTGATTGGTGCCTACTTAGTATCTCCTGTGAGCACGGACCCTGGTGCAGCGATCACATGCTCCAAGCACGCTACATTTAACTGATGTGGATAGAGCCCGTGCCATAGGGCAACTTCAAACTTGGCATCACAAGAAGACAGTTTCCGCTCACTGACTGCATTTAGAAACCATAAGCGGTCTGCTACAGATTTGCAGTCAAAGTTTGCAGGATGATTTTGCCAATGGTGCTCTGTCCAGACAGTCCATCAAGCCCATAAGCACCGACGTCAGCGACAGGTGCACTAAGCATGAGCGTGAGGAGAAATTTTAGCAATGAATACAGATTCTGCCTTTAGCAGCTGGATTGTAGTGTCA